TAGGTTAAATAATGAAGTAATTTATTTTTGACTTAATAATAATTTTTTTATAAAGATAATGATTATGTTAAAAATCAATAATTATCTTAATTATATTTTTGATTTAAAATAAAATATTTATCTTATATTTAATTATATTTATCTACTATTAGTTCTACTCGCTTGGTTATACTCAGGCAGCAACTACGGCCACGATTAATAAATTAAAAAAAGTTACAAAGTATGATTATAGATATTTTCTTTTAATAACGAAAGAATTTTGGTAGGAGACGTGGCAAATTGATTCACATTACAAGACTCTGTGGCTCCAGGGCATTTGAATTCAACTTCCAACAACACTGCGCACAGAGAGCTCACCTCTGCTCTATCAATGGCGACCACCAGCTCTTCCACATGCGGATTCTCCAAACTCCATTTCCCACTAATATTTACCAACAATATTTCATCTTCAACATCGGGTTTCCACACCAGAACTAGGGTCTCTCCGATTGCTTCAAAGCCCAACAGAATAATATCAGTTTCTTCCTGCTTGATTGATTCTTCTTCAGTCGAAGCAGTCGAGAGTATCAGCTCCAAAGTTAAGGTGGAAACATGGTATTCTCCGTTTCGTTGATTAGGGTTTTTATGTTGCCTTGATTTTATTGTAATGCGCTATCTGTTCATCTTTAACTTACTCCATTGATCCCAACATTCAATCATATATGTTATGGAGGATTAATTAACTGAGGAGATTAAGTCTAATCATTGTTCAAAGTGAAATTCCAATCATATGGAGGAGGGCGGAGGCAGTATATGTTAGAAAAACTTTTCTTGGAATCCACTGAAAGTTGTTTATCACTTTCAGATTGAAGTATTTCGACGGGACAATCAAAATCTCAATCGGATAAAATTCAGTGATTGACAGAACTTCGAATCCAAAATTGTTATGAAATCTGTGTACCACTCTCTCAATCGAAAGAGTTTTCACCTATTCAAGAAGTGCGAAAACTGTCAAAAACGGCAGTTTTTTGCACCCTAAACGGTCCTAAATCAAAATAAACTCAAACAAGTGTGCATTCCGCACCTTCCTTACTTGTTTGATATTTATAATGATTACATTGGTCAACAAATTAATCCCATTACACTTAAATGATATTGGTGATACTAATCACCAACAGTATATGTGTACTGCCCCTGTTTCTGAGCAATAAACATCCCTAGGCAATTTCGAATCATACAAATTTACATTTTACACGTATTCATTGAATGATGCATATACAGTAACGAATTTTAGTGAGTATACTCATCAATGTCTGTATACCTGCATGCATAGTAGATATCTGTTGACGAATATGTTTTGAGTTATGGAATACATATTTCAATAGTATATATGCATTAATGAATATACATGTTCTCCGGTTCTCAAAAATTTTATGGTTCTCACATGAACCTATCCTATCCTATCCTATCCTATATATATTTGAATTGATATTGGCCAACAGGGAAATCAAATGAATTGATATTATTTGTTTAAAGATTTGCTTAAGTTACATGTTTCAGTTTATGGAGCTAAAATATTATGTTAACATGTTAGTTTGATTTTGCAATTTTGACATGATGGTCACTAGTTATGAAGCGTGATTCGTTGTGACCCGAGCATTACTTAGTAGATTCAAATTTGTGATACAACCGTTATTCTTGAGGTTAGGAAGATGGTTTGTTTGTTGTATCTTTTTCTTATAGACATTGGCAACATTTTTCTTTGAATGTGCTACACAGTTCACGAGATATAATAAGAGAAGACATTGGCAAATTGCCAAAATACATAAATCCCATGTCTTCTGACTTTTTTCGTTTCTTGCACTTATTATTGCATGTATGATTATCTTTCCAAATATCGGCCCTTGTTTTAAGGGTATGTTTGGCAAACTAGCTGCTCATAAACTGTTAGCCAAACAACTAGTTGTTTGCTAATAAGCTAGTTGTTAACTCATAAGCTAACTAATAAACCAGTCACGTTTGCTAAAAACTACCTGATAAACTAGATGACAATGTAAAATGACCTAAAAGGACATGTTAAAATGACTTATAAGGGGAATAATTGGAAAAAAGTGAAAAAATCCCCTAGAGCTTATTGAAAAGCAACCTGAAGTAGTTTTTCAAAAAGCTAGCTTATGTTATGGGTTACCAAATGGGGTTATTTCAATAAGTTCAAAAACTAAGCTAGTTTGTGGTTGCCAAATATGGCCTAAGTAAGGAGAAATTGACAATCTAGTTTCTGCTGAGTTACATGGTTGTGCTTGAAAGAACTGATAAACATATGGCTTCTTTTGTTCTGGAGGTATATTTTTGTAACTTTACAGAAATTAGTTGATTTTGTTTGTGTTGTAGTGTCTGGAATTGGAAAGGCTATTCTATTCGATATCAATATGCTGGGAACAGTGGCCCTGCATTGGTTTTGGTTCATGGTTTCGGAGCAAACAGGTCCACCATCATTCATATTTTGCTTCTCATCAACTATGTGATATAGGTATTAACTGCATTATATCACAAAAAAATCTTGTTTCAATTGCCTATATATATTTAGTGCCTCGGTAGTCCCTATATTCAAATGTTTATAGAACTCAAATATCTAACTTCTGCTCACTCAAAATGCTCACATTCTACATGTTCAATCGACATACTTTGTTTGTTCTTCCTTGGACAAATCTTCTTGAAAACTCTAGTCAGCAATAGGCTGGAAATTGGAACCTCATTTCATCGTGTAACTGGACCAGACCTAGTCTAGTTACAGGTAGAACCACTTAGTAAGGATCGATCTCCAATGAGCAACAACTAGTTGGGATCAATTATAACGGTTGCTTAGGACCAGTTCGTGTAGACCACGCAAAATCTTCTCTGTTGACCTTTTTTGATCTTTTTCTCCATTTTAAGGCCTATAATGGCTGTTTTTAAGAGTAATTTGGTTTAATAAACTATAAATAGGTATTATTAGGAGTAAAAAATATTATAAGTACAAAAAAATTGTCAAAAGTAAAGATGATGCTGTGCCTAAAAGAACCCAAGCAGCCGTTGCAGGCTTACAGCTGAACCCTCTTGTCATCAGAGACCAGTCGTTCCTAATTTGCCCAGTACCCGGTTTTAACCAAGCCTTCTCTGGTCCCGTTAACAGACACCAGGTCACATGATGCAAAAGGAGGGTTTGGACTAGGACCTCACCGACCTTAACTGGTCTTGGTTCTTTTTGGTCTGATTGGCTCTGGCCTTTTGCTTATCTCTATTTGTATGTTAATAGTTATTTGTCAAAGCTAGATCAAGAACCTTCTATTGGCTGATTACTATAATACCCGAGCTTAACTATGCCAATTAACAAAATGGCCTGGAATGTTTCAAAATCTCGTCTCTAGATGCCAATAACTGTGTGATGCTTTTTTTAAACTTTGGTATCATTTGTTTTTCGTCTCATTTAGAACGCAACCTGAAGCCATCTTTGAGTTCTTTGTTGCTTCAGATACACTATCATATGGCTAAGTAGCTCTAACTTACCCTCTTTGACAGTGACCATTGGCGGAAAAACATTCCAGTTCTTGCAGAATCTCATCGGGTATTCTCAATTGATCTTATTGGTTATGGTTACTCTGACAAACCAAATCCTCGTGAGTTAGGAGACAGTCCTTTCTATACATTTGAGACATGGGGTTCTCAATTAAACGACTTCTGTACAGATGTAGTTCAAGATAAAGCATTCTTTATATGCAATTCGATTGGAGGTACCACGATTTTGTTAGTTTTGAAATAAACCAAACATCTTTAGGGTGTGTTTGGTATGCAGGACATGACAATACAAAAAATTGCTGTTCCACGTCTGGGGCGACATTAGACTGGGACAGGAACTGAGATAAAAATGCGTTTCTTGTCCCACCCAAAATAGGTGGAACAAAAATAAGGGAGAAAAGAACAAGATTGGTTAATTACTAAACTACCCATGTCAAATTGAAACCCTAAAACCTTCCATAATTCTTTCACCCACCTACCTCACTCTCATCCGTCCAGCCCCATTCAGTCATGTCCTGTCTGCATGCCAAATGCACCCTAAACATAATTCAACATGATACAGTCTTTTCAAAGTTGATTTGGTGTCTGTGTAGGACTTGTTGGTCTTCAGGCAGCAGTGACGGATCCAAGCATCTGTAAGGGCATTGTGCTTCTGAATATATCTCTTCGTATGCTTCATATAACAAAGCAACCATGGTTCGGGAGACCCTTAATTAGATCTTTTCAGAACTTATTGAGGTAAACTATCTCAGATTGAAGTTTTAGTTTGAAGCTCTTATAACTCGAAGTCACAATGGTTTATGGTAGGAATACCCCTGTGGGAAAATTGTTCTTTCAAACCGTTGCCACAAAAGAGGCGGTTAGGAATATCCTTTGTCAGGTATATGTTAAACTTAAACAACGAAAAATTATACATATGATAACTTTTGAACAGCATACATCCAATTAATCGCATGACCCACGCAGTGTTACCATGACACTTCTCAAGTGACGGAAGAATTAGTTGACTCCATCCTTCTTCCAGGACTCGAGCCTGGCGCCGCTGATGTGTTTCTTGAGTTTATTTGTTATTCAGACGGCCCTCTTCCCGAGGAACTACTACCTCAAGTAAAGGTTGAATCTTTGGTCAACCATTATCATCAATACCTTTCTTCCCCTACCTGCTCTCCCTGTGCGCACCTGACCAACAAACTGCAGCTGATGCCCTTATATTTGTGCAGTGTCCTGTGCTGGTAGTGTGGGGTGATAAAGATCCTTGGGAGCCCATTGAACTTGGAAGAGCTTACGGAAATTTTGACCTTGTTGAGGATTTTGTAGCCCTCCCGAATGTTGGTCACTGCCCTCAGGTACCCTGCTCTCCCCCCCTACCCCCCTACCAAAGATGATTCTTCATATGGTAGAACAATCAATTTAAATCATGTTATAATCATCTAGTTTCTAGCAAGGAGGGTTGCATCTAGATCTTCTATCCTATACCGAACAAGTAATTGACTTTTTGGATCATCGTGCTTGGCTTTTGTTGCAAACACACCATTGTTCTTGAGCAAATGTATGAATAATCACAGTATGACCGTCATGGGGGAGGTAAATTGCGTGTCCAAGGGAGTTGGTGGAGTCGAACCCCTAACTTCCCACTCATTCTGAAAGAATGCCGACCTCCTTACCTACTAGACTAAAAGCCACAGGGACTATAACGTACATTCTTATGCATGCATTAGAGGGAAAAGGAGCCAACACGATATGAGCCTTTTACATGACGCTTCAAGATTTAAAATAGATATACCAAGTAAAAGTAAACCAAGATAAAACTTGAGTTTTAGAAACAGTGAATTGTGAGATAAATTATGTCTTATATTTGTTTGCCTTGAAACTTGTATATACACACACGCACGCACACGTATAATTAAGTAACCCTGTTATCCGTAACTCTTTAGAGTATCTGAATCTTTGAATCCATCCTTGCAATATGGTATAGTTTGAGTTTCAGATGCCTTCTGGCTCATGCAGACCAGGGCCAGTTTAGCATTAAGATTCTGGTCAATCAGATACCTTTCTCCGGGCTATACTGGGTTCATTTAGTTTTATTCTGGCCAATTAGATGTGGCCAGAAACCTTTGTGTTGATGATCTCTGCTTACGTGTGCGTGCAGGATGAAGCGCCTCATCTGGTGAACCCACTGGTCGAGTCTTTTGCAGCACGCCATGCAACAGTAAAAAGCTAGTCTTTGTTGGTATGTTATGCATTCGTGCATCGGAAGAAGCATATAAGATTTTACCATTTTGTTGTTTCAACCATATATAGCACAAAATCTTGCCCAAACAAACAGGTGGGTTGTATGTATATGCTGAAACTGCTTGGCAAGGGCTCATAATAGAAGAACACACAAGTGATTTATAAAGTGATGCCAGGATTTCTTGAAAAGTTTATACAACCGATCCTTGGTAATGCCGTTTACGGCAAATGAAATGTTTGTGTATATCTTACTCTCTTTGAGCCTGCTTATGAGTGGGATATGCTAAAGTTTGTTTTTTTAATGATGATTACAAACGGATAATTTCAACAAATATTTTACGTTTTTTTGTTTTTTGTCCGTGCTTCTTTCACCGTATGCTAACACTCTTGTACAAGCTAGAGATCTCTTAAGGAAACAACCACAATATCCTGTTGGGATAGATGTCAGGTTTGTTTACATCTTATTTCTTTTTTCAGACCTTACGCTTGAGTGAGATTTACCGTTTCAATTTGGTTTAGGTATTCATGATCTGACAAGGCTCATTCTAAATTTTACTTATTTGACTTGAACTTGTTATTCAACTTGTTTAGCTATTTTACGAAGAATATGAAATGGAGTTGATAACATTAACGATATGTGTTTCAGTTCTACTGTTGATTACATTGAAACTGATAAATCCTCAATGTTTTATATTTTTTTTTAAAAATCTTCTTTCAATTAATAAATAATTATTATGACCGAGTATCAATAAGGTCAAGAATATGAAATCCAAAAAAAAGGAAAGAAGGTTCAAGTTGACTCGTGAAAACATTTTGTTACATAATTTCTAGGAATTGCCATATTAATTTCTATGTTATTTAATATATATATATATATATATATATATATATATATATACTTGAGATCATGTGAGACCAATGGTTTTTCGTGAGACCCGTAAGACCAATTGTCAACCCTTGGATTAGATTTACAATCGTCAGATCTGAACATTTATAAACGCCACGAGACTTCTCAATAATTACAAAATTGTAACCTTGAAAATTAAGACCATTAGATCATTAGTTTATAAATTTGATCAATGAACATAAATTGGTCTTACGAGTCTCACGAAAAACCCTTGCTCTCACGTGAACCCAACCCTATATATATATATATATAAAGAAAAAGACTTGGCCAGTCTTCTGGTAGTCGACTATATTTTATTAGAAAACAATACTACGATAAATAACTTGTTTTTTTCTATTAAATATTAAATATATTTCAAATCTTAACACTAGTATCAGTTTTCTGAACATTCTAAATATAAATATATATTTAAATATTAAAATGGTACTCACATAATGCAGCAAGAAAATTTTTGATTTTTGATTTTTATGTTTAGTTTATATTTATATTTTTTGTTTTTATCAATATAATACGATTTTATGTGGTTTTGAGAAAACGATAATATTTTTTATTTTTGAATGAAATATAAATTTGAAGATAGTATAAAATTTTGAAAAAAACCCGATATTGGTATCAAATTAACTATTTAATAGTTTTCATTTTTTTTTTGTGTAACTTCTTTAATTCAGTTTTTTATTATAATTTAATTTAGATTTAATAACAAAGTAATTTATTTTTGGTTTAACAATATAATTTTTTATAAACAATAATAATAAAAAAATTTATTAGCATTCAGTGATTATCTTAATTATATTTTAAATTTTTTATATTTAAAATATATGTTTATCATGTATTTGATTATCTTTATCTGCAGTTAGTTATACGAATTTAAAAATAAAGCTTTAATAAGTTGACTTACGTAAAATTATTTGTAATGTTAAATTTTAAGTACATTAATAAATAATATTTCATGTATAAAAAATGGTTTTTATCAAATGCTTTATAATATAGTATAGATTTGTAATATTAATTTATTTGATAATATTTTAATTAATAACCAAACGTTTTGGGTGAATGATAATAAAATGTCGTATTATGTTCAGAATATTTCTGCTTTTTTAAAATAAAATACTAAGCAAATCATGTTTGACCAAGGACCTAATCATATGTAATTGGATTGCAGTTTGATTATTTATGTCCACCAAACCAATTACAATAGATTCGGATTGCTTACACGGTTTTCATAAATGTAAATGAGACCTTCATTTCCTCATCAATTGCAAAATTGACCACCTAAAAGTCAACCCATACAAAAAATCATATCTCATTTCCAATTTTTCATGAAATTTTCTTGCAAATTCTTGTTTCTTGGTTTGCACGATACTAACCGCACACAACTCTTTTAAAAAGCAATCTAACGGGATTTCACACATTTTCACGTAGTATCACAGATAAGATCTATCACTTAGAATTAGGGTATATATCAGAACTTTTGATAGGATTTTTTTAGAGAGTAATTTAGTAAAGGATTTTGCAATGTACAACCATATTTGCAATAAGTACAACCTGGCCACTAGTGTAAACTTTAAATTTCTAAATAAAAGACTCCACACCCATGAACCATAATCAAAGAAAGAACACAAAAGTTGAATCTTTTTCTCCATTAATGGTAAAAAAGAGTATTATCAATGAATACCCATGTGAATCTACAGCTTCTATTTCAATTTGTATCTATACAGAACTGGGAAGATAGAAGAGACCTAAAACCCTATACAAGATTTGAAGATATGGACTTGAAAAGAATGTCTAAAATACCTAAGTCAATCTGCTATCGTCACTAGAAAGTAACAAATTAATCAAACAACTCTAAGAAATCACCTGATGTGGTTATGATTATCCATCAGGCGATCAATAGGGACGACTGTGTTCTGTAACGTTGACTGTTTCTTCGATCGAAATACCTCAAGCTTCTTGGAGACAAGTTTGCTTGTTCTAGAGCATGCGATTGTAGCTGTGTTGGGTAATCTCGCAAACAACCAATTCGAGGTCCGGCTCCTGTGCTCCATTTGCACGAAAGCTTCCTTCCCAATTGAAATGATTTTGTTTCTTTATGTGAATTGATCCTTTGAAGAATAGATTCTTTAGGAACAGCCGCCTCCACTTCTGGATCATGTTCATCGTCCGAAAAACCATCCAACATGATTTCTGATGTGAAACCTTGATTCTCAGTCTTTGATTCTAACAAGAAATCGTCATTTTTTGGTATTTCAAGAGGATTTAAGTTCCTAGCGAAACTACCAAACAATCTTGGCTTCTTTGCTGATGCCAATTTTGAATCTTGTTCTTCAACGGTTCTTTCTGGGATATGATCTTCAAGATCTGCATCTTCGGTCTCCAGACGCTCCTTTTCGCTCTCGGATGAAATAGTTCTTACGTGGGAATTAGTATCATCATCATCATTGGAATCCATCTGAGATATATAATAACAGATATGTAAGAATCAAGCATCAAAAATCGAAATAAAATAGTGAGAATTGATTCGGGTCTCGTTTTTCACCTTTATATAAGAAGTGTTCACACCATTTTCCCGGAGGAATGAAATGAAATCTTGAAAATTTTCTTGGGTAGGACGATAATGACCGCTGTGAGGCCAGACTGCCTGTTCAATAAGCATTAATATGAAAATCGGATATTGTTTTGAAGCAAGAAAAAGACAGGATTAAACGAAAATATACCTTAAGGACACCATTCTCAGCAACAATTCTCCCGGCAGCCAATGTGGCTCCCCCAGCCAAAAAACTTGAATGTTGAAACGAACCTTTCTTCTTGACACCAACATATAAAGTCTTAGTTGCACTGAGGACAAAGATCCACTTAGCACCCTTTGTTTGTCTTGTGGTATCAATGAACTCGCCGGTTTGTTTGTAAAAGAGCTTCCCATCCTCTATCGCTACTTCATACGCCTTCCTCTCCATCTAGAGAAAAAAATACCGATAATTTTAGTGAGAACTTTTTTGTTGGAATGTAACTGTGAGAATACGCAAAACCCCATTAGATTACTCTCCGAAAGATCCCTTTGAGTAGAGTAGCCAATGTGGGACTAAAACATAACGACAATGGAAATTCAAGAAAAAGGAACAAGAGATATACCGGGCCAAGATATTTGATGCATTGCTGCTGAAGTTTTGATCTAGGACACTTTTCAACAAGATTCACTTCTTTACCTTCTCCTATATCCAACCTGAGTTTTCAAATAAAGATAGAGTCAGTTTATAAACTCTATAATACTACTCTTGCTAAGAATGCAAGCTTGTGATGTGCTTACCAGTAGAAGAAAGGTTCTTTGCTTTCAGAATGAAGCCATTTTAAGTAATAGAAGTGAAGATTGTGCCCATAACGATGTCTTGGATCTATCTGTACAAATGCAAGATGAAAAAACTAAGAAAATTTTGAATTATCGTAACGAGTAAGAAGTAATAATATATCAATTCATCGTTCTTTCATTCACTTACTGCCTCAAGCCAGTGCTGCAAAGCAAGCTTCTGGGCTTTGCAATTCTTTGATAGTCCTTTCCCAACCTGCAAAAATCAAAAAAAACTTCTTAAGCGATTTGATTCGATATTTTAAGTTGTTGGCATTCAGTCATATTCTAATGCCTTAAAATGTACCTTGGCAGCTCGGGTTCTTGCTCGGGCCCAACGTGATATGGCCGTCTCATGTTTATCAATATCGAAAAACGATATAGAACTCCTTTTGAGTTCTGCAGAATCCAAGACTTTCCACCTAAATCAATCACAGAGAAACTGCATTAGCAAAACTGGAGATGCTAAGATGCCAGCGTAAGTGTCAAAACAAATCAACATACTTACCAGCTTTGTTCAATTAAAACTGCACAATCTGCCAGCTTTCTTCTTGTTCTAAAGCTTTTATACACTTTCTGCAACTTTGTGGCTGCTTCATGTTTGGGACTCCCTGAATCAGAAGTGGACAATTGCAGGGATTCGATCATAGAACTATGATCAAATCTTGGGGATTGGGTGCAAAGTTCCTTCTTTTTAGCACAAATTAAAGCATTTTTTTCTGGTGAAGGGATTTTAAGGCTTAAAGATTCATGAACTATCTTTTGAGAGTCTACAGACTTCATTACACTTGGTTCAGAGTCTTGGTTCTTGAAACTGATAGATCGGAACAAACTTTTAGGTTCATCATCTTCTAAACAACTGATGGATGTGAAACTGGCTTCTAAATCTGTCCACGCAGCAAAGGGGCACGAAATGGATAAACCCATACAAGTTTAAAAGAAGAGTTGAGCAGCCAATGACTATGAGTCTTGATTATCCTGTTAAAACAATCCATTAGATTCAAATTAGATTAGATGACTAATAAGTTATTCATGAAAAGAAAACTGTAAAAACTGTAAGATTTATCAAAAGACATTTTGTTTGTATTTTAGTCATTGGTGACAACTAATACCAACAAACAGGAAACAAGATGATTTGTCGATGAGCTGTGACATCAATCAGCAAACAGAAAACTTCGAAAAATCAACACCTCATTGCCCATAAAAACTAAAAAAGTACAAGGCTTGATTGTGCAAAGAACTAAAGCATACATTCACACAAATCATAAGAAGATAATTAGATCAAATAGTTCCAAGAAAATAGCAAGAACCCATGAAGCTTTAACGATAATTAAACCCAAAAAAGAAGTCCCACTGGCGCATTTCGTCGAAAACCTCATAGACATAAACACAGATACTGAAGAAGAGAAAATGAAGGGAAAAGAGGAGAAGAGAAGAGGTAATGTTACCCTATATAGAAATTGATTGGTAAAGACTGAGAAATCGAATGAGTGCCCTGTTTTGATTATGGATTTTGAGATGAAATTGGAAGAGAAGAGAAGTTGGTAACCAATGATGCCAAAATTACTCTTATATATAGAAGCCATCACGTAGTTTCGATCGTATGCGTGCGAACTGGGGAGAGGGGTCAGAGGTGGTGGCACGTGGAATGGACTTTCGAGTATCATTTCTCCAAAAATTAAATTAAAAATTTTAATTGTTTGCATATTTAATTAATTTTTATTCTTAATATAATATGCAATTAATACAAAACATAATAATGTAATTATTATATTTTAGGTTATTTATTTGTGAAAAAAAATACAATTTAAAAGTTTCACATTATGAACCAAATACATACAAAATAATTATATTAAAAAATAAATATATGTTAATCAATATGTTAAATTTTAGTTTTAAATGAAAAAAAAATCATTTGAAACAATATCTTACGTTAATAGTTCTCATTGTTATTATAATATATGAGATTTTTAAATGTTTAAGTCGGAATTAATTTAGTATAATGTTGTATGTGATTATGGATGTTTTTTTTATTTAATTTAAAAAAGATAATAAGAATAATAAAAGGAGTTGGAAGATGTCAAAGTAAAAGTCAAACATGTCCAAAGTAGATCTCATCGCCATTGCTTATGTCATCCTTTCAATGCCTTTAACTTAATTCCCAAGCTTATTGAACAATTCATTGGAAACAATATTAAATTATTAAAATAAAACTAAATTAAAAAACCTAGAGCTTTCCAACTCCAAATAACCAAGGATCCGACCCTTCACTATGGCCTCCATCATCATTGTGACCATCTTCAACCTAAATGAAAACAGGATGTGAAGATCGGTTATGAGAAGAGACAGGTGAAGTGTGATGATGAAACATGTAGCTGAAATCAAACGGTAACGACCCAACTTCTAAAATAATGACGCTTAACATAAATGGCCAACAGACACCAAGGTTTACAAGAAAAGGGGTTTCTCAATTACATCACACGCAGGCCCGTTCCTGACATTTTTTAGGTCCTGGACGAACGTAAAAGCAGGGCCAACGGCAAGAAACAAGGCTTTTAGCAACGACTTTTGTCGTCGCTAAAAGTCCATTTATCATTAGAAAAAGTATATAACAACATGTCGTCATTATAACTTGTGGCAGAAACATGTCGCTAAAAAGTGAATCGTCTATGCTCACTTTTTTTGTAATGACCCTCGGTAAGTACGAAAAAAAATTCAATAAATGTTTTCCATTAGTATAAAATTGAGTACAAAAAATGTTAATAATTTACCGAGGAAAGAAATCTTATTTATCTTTATCATATATATATATATATATATATATATATATATAAGAGTACTTAAATTCACATACTTCTTATTAGGTAATTTGAAATCAAGAGTATAGAAACTATGTTGATAATTTTTTTTTTTATAAAAAGTAAGAATTTTTTTTAGTTTATAACAAGAATTATGTGTTATTTTGATACAAAAAGAGAATTCATGTGAATGAGGTAATCGTCAGGGAACGAGAGATCAATAATAAAGAAAATTATCAAGGTTTTCTAGACAAGTAGACAAATGAGGATCAATAAGAATATGAAAGAAAAGATGATCCATTGAGATTCAATAAGAATAAATAATGAATTAAACATATAATATGTAAGCTCAACAAAAGATTGTTTGAGCACTTAAATAGAAGCTTGTTGTGTGGTGGAATCCCAATGAAAGATACATAAGTCAAACAGTTGATGAAAATATTTAAATTTTATTTTTCTTCTTTTTTTGCTCAACCAAAATAAGATGTTAAGATTAAAAGTTTATGAAACATGACATTATAAGAGACATTAGTAGAAAAAATTTATTTATTAATCATAAAACCATGAAACATAYCATAAAYTATAAGAACAATAAATTGATTGYCAAACAATAATAAAATATTTTATGTAGAAACAAAAATAGATAACAATARTCAACAAAAACAATTAGAACAACATAACCAAATAGCAATAGTCAATAGAAACAGAAATTGATAAAAATATATAGCAATAATAAGCACATGATCTTAACCTTGAATAGTTGAAGCACGAAAACAGTCAAGCATATAGAGATAGTAATAGCCAATATCATTAGACCTTTTTAGAGATAAAAAAAATTAGAGAGTCAATAATAAACAATAACATATAATGAATGACAATTAATTTTTTTTTATTTTCTTCTCAATGTAATTAATTGATATATTTTTGGGCGCTTATTATCTACTAATTCTTTTTGCCCCTTATTGTATACTACAATTTTTTGGGTTTTTTTAAATTTCTTATATTATTTTATACTACTATTGTATTTAAAAGAAAATTTTTGGGCCCCTGATATTTTTGGGCCCTGGGCGTGCGCCCGTGTCGCCCTCCCCCAGGGACGGCCCTGATCACACGAAATTCACAGGTGCATCACATCTTGTTGATTTACTAGTAAGGACTCTCCAGATGAAACTTAGCTGAAAATGTTTGGTTTTTGAAAACCACAGGTTAGACCAAAAGGTCTAGTGAATTCCCTTAGGGGGTGTTTGGTTCATATAATGCAATTTGATGGAGTTGAAATCCATCAAAGGAATTTGAATTTGAAGGAATTACAATGGAATTTAACCACGCGTTTGGTTGTTAGGAATTGGAGTGAAATCTCTGAAAAGAATTGGAACAATCGTCTTTGTTTGGAGCTCACATCCTACCAACCACCATGTCACTATTGTTGTCGTCACAGCTATCACCCCGCCTCGCCCCGCTCCTACCCAAACTCTGCCCCACCACCCTACCCTTGCCCCCACCCCTACCCCTACTCTACAGGTAGGGGTTGTTGGGAGCCAGAAGGGTGGGGCGAGGCGGTGGGGCGAGGCGATGGGGGTGTGGCCAGAGTAAGGCAATGGGTGTCAGGATGGTAGCTGTGGTGACTACAATTGTAGGCTAGTGGTGGGTTAGAGTTAGGTAAAGTGGGCGTGGGCGTGGGCGTGGGCGTGGGCGCGGGCGGGGGTGGGGGCAGGGCAAGACGGTGGGGTGGGTAGGGGTAGGTGGCGGGGTGGTAGTTATGACGATGTTAGTGGTGGGATAGTGATCGGGTGGCTGGGGCATGAGAGTGGGTGGGTATGACGACAACAATAGTGACATGATGTTTAGTGGTGGGTTGGGGTAGCGTAGGGTGCGGGCGAGTGGCAGTTGCGAAAACGACAATTGTGGTGTGGGGGTTAGGTCAGGGGCAGGGTGGGGATGGGTGGCGGGGTGGTAGATGTGATGACGACAGTGGTGGGACGGTGGTCGGGTGACTGGGATTGGGTGGGTATGACGACAACAATAGTGTCATGGTGGTTAGTGGTGGGTTCGACTAGGTGGCGACGACAGTAGTGGTGTGGTGGTGGGGGGTTAAGGGTGGGGCATGACGAACAATAGTAGTATGGTCGTGGTGGGTGTTGATTAAATTCAATTCCTTCCATTATGTTAAGGAATGATGAATTCATTAATTTGTGAAACTCAATGAAATTTGAAGGATTCCATCCATTTCAAGAAATGGATCAAGCAAAAAAATTGGAATTTGGTCAAAAGAATTTGACATTCCAATTCCATCAAATTCCTTCGAATTTAGCGGACCAAACGGCTCCTTACTTTCACGACCAAAGAATAAAAAATCATTTATAATAAAAGGTGGCCAACGTAAACACCCAATCTAATACCAAAATCGGATTAAAGATGGATTTTCCATGAAAAACTCACTCTTTAATCCCAAAACCCTAAATTCCTCAAACCAAATAACAAGCTCCATTAATGGAGGAAACCAAGTGTAACGAGAAGAATATTACACTCGTGACTTCTTTCACTTTTTCTTCTTCAAATCCTCAAAACTTCAAGAAACTTCCACCAAAAGTTATTTCTTCTTCTTCAATAGCAAACGATTTAGGGAAATGGGTGAGGTCCCCGTTAAACCACAACTTTCGAAATCCACCCCTGAGTAATGAGTTAATTACAATCCATAACCTCTAACTTCCAAATTTATAAATATTGAACTAAAGTTATTACAATTTGTAATATCTCAAGCCAACTGTATCAGATATTGTCCGTTTTGTCTATACTTGGACTCATGGTTTTAAAACGTACCCGATAGAGAATGTATTTAGTCCCTTATAAACCTTTATTCCCCTCCTAACCAATGTGGGATCTCACAATCCACCCCATTGGGAGCCTAGTGTCCTTGCTAGCAGACAAATTCAGTTCTCGACTCTGATACCATTTTGTAACATCTCATGCCAGATGTACTAGATATTTTCCGCTTTTTCTACGCCTGGACTCACGGTTTTATAACGTTTTTTTGTAGAGAAAGTATCCAGTCTCTTATAAGACAAAATGACCTTGAATTAACGACTAGAAAATTTAACATAAATTATTCTCATGAACAAAAATAACAAT